AGAGTTGGCATCGGGGTTTGTTACAAGGATAGGTTGCTGGGTTAGTGGTTTTGTTCAGTGATGTGGGTGGCTATATTACAACAAGAAAAACTTCAAAAACAGACTCCAACGAGAGACTGCTGAGCTAGAATTGATATGCAAACTAGACACAATCAACTCCGGTTTGAATAAGGACTGGGAATGGCTGAGCCATTACAAACATTGATTCTATCTCCCCTTGTAAGTATGCTCACACTTCTTATCAAACTGTCTGTACTGGACTATCTTGATTATCACTTCAAAAGTTTTTTTTCTCTTAATTAATTGGCCCCTTAGAGTTGGTAAGACAACTCCCACCTGTTTATGCTCTCTGTATGTGTGTATATATATCTCCTCAATATATGTTCCATTCTATATGATCCGAAGAAGTGGGCTGTAGTCCACGAAAGCTTATGCTCTAATAAATTTGTTAGTCTCTAAGGTGCCACAAGTACTCCTGTTCTTCTTTTTAAGTATTTGTGTAGGTCTTTGCAGGATTGAAGTGTGAGTGTGTAGTGAAATGTTAATTTAAAGGAAAAGTATTTTTAAAAGAAATAAAACAAGTTTGGAATTTTCTCATGGTAATTGTTTGTTTTCTTCAGTTCTTGTCTTTTTGTTTATAATTATGAACTTATTCCTAACGCATTTGACATTCTTTCTGCCCTGAGACTTCGACTCATTTCTCCTTGTACCACATGTTGCCGATTTGCTGTAAAAGGATCTGGCTTTCCTCACTGTTAGACCAGGTGCTATAGTTCTTCTTGTGACTCCTGTTACAAAGAGAAGTTGGACAGGTGCCCAGGAGACAGTACACAGTCAAAGTTTTGTCCATCATGTGACTGTAAAGCTTTCAACAACACAGTGTTTTGGTTATAGTGGGTGGAAAATTAAATTAACATGGGCAGAAAAGTATTACTTCACACACAGCTGTTCTAAGTATATTTCACACATGATAAACTTTATTTATAGAAAGAATGCACAGCAGGAAACATTTTAGGTCAGGCAGTGTGGCACCTCCACTTGTTTGCTTTTGGAAAATCATTACTGGAAAACTAATGGTTATCCGGCCACTGGACTATAAAACATCTTGTTGGGTCAACAGCAGAAGTAACTGGAAAATTTGTATGACGTATAGCTGCTAGAGTGGTTATTTTAATCTCAACTGGAATTGTTTTATCCTGACTCTAGATACAATAGTTAAGAAAAGTAGCCCATAGAATATTGTGAAAATTTGCTATTTTCCTACTGTTCACAAGATAATGATATTGGCTCTGCTGATAAGATCTAACTAGATTAGGGTACTGTTGCCCCCCTAGCTGTAGTTGTGGCCAGATTTTTACACATTTATGCTTATTTAAGATATACAAATGCTAAATAAAGAAATAAATCCTCACAATTATCCTGTTAAAATCGGGAAATTACTAGCTCACAGAAGAAAATCCTTATGAGCAACCTTCAGATCCTAGCAAAAAATTCACCAAATAAATAAAGTCTTCTGTCCTATCAAAGGAACAAATTAAAATAGATGGCCCCACTATCCCTTTGCCTTCAGGAAGCATGTGTTTATTTGCAGTAATAGGATTCCATGAAAAATATTCCCTTCTATTTACTATTGTACGGAAGGGAAAGGATATTTCTTATTTGTATTGTATACATTGAAACTTTAGGATCCTGCAGGTGTAAAGCCAATTGCTTATTTTGTAAAACCTGATTTGAAGCTGCAGTTGCCCAGAGGACAGAGGATTAAAAGTTGCCTCGTTTTAAGAGAACGTTTTTTAAAGAAAAAAATGTTGAGATGCCAGTATCTTGAAAAGTGCTACTCTTTGACAAATGGAACTTTTGGTGAACATCACCCTTTATTTTTTTCTGTATTGACTGGCTTCTCTGAAACAATCTGCTTCTCCCTGAGCTGCATCAGCTCCCAGCATTCTTCCTGAGGGTCAGCTTATACCAATGAGATGACCAATTCCTGAAAGTTGTGTTGTGGAAGGGATGCTTCTGTGAGCCCACTCATAAAACTGTGATTTTTTCCTTACAAGTGGAAAACTGCTTCTCAACTGCTTCTGCCTTATATAACTGTATACAGTTATTTATACTTTTGAGCTTTCCAAATTCCACTTTATTTTTAGGCTAATTCAAAATTTCAGAAACATGTATTCAGAAACTGTGCTCTATGTTTTTGTTTGGTTTTAGTTAGGTTTTTTAAAATACTTCTGTAACCCCTATGGTGATTCCTTTGTTCTTGGTATGCTTTGAAATTTGATTGATAGTTAATCCACTAATAATATTATTGATGTTGCTACTTCATTTCACTTTGTACCTGCTGTGTTGATTATAGGGGAATGGGGGGGTCTATAGCCTAAGCATGGCACAAAAGAAATCACGAACTATATTTTACTCCTGGGGGAATTCTGCACCACTATTCTGCAGGCACGGAATTCAGGTCCCTCTGCAGATTTCTTAGCTTCCCAGCAGAAAATGATGGGGAAGCAAAGGGAAGCCGCAAGAGTGGTCACATGCCCGCGTGTTTTCCAGCATGGGCGGTGGGTGTCATAGTCACGGGAAGGCATTGTCTTCCCAAACAGCCTGACGTCCCCCTGTCCATGCTCCACCCCCAGGCCCCATCGTGCCTGCTGTTCCTTGGGGCAGGCAGGCTTGGGGTCACGGTGTGCCCCCAGGGCTGTGCCGTGCCACCCATCCTCCTGGGGCTGGGGCCCAGGGAGGCTGGGGCATGTTGGGGGTCAGGCCTGGCGGTGCGGCCCAGGGAAGTTGGGTCGGGCCCGGTGGAGCGGCCCGGAGAGGCTGGGGCCGTGCTGCCCGGCACTCAGGGGCCAGGGGGCGCTGAGAGTACTAGCCTGAGGCAGGGGCCAGCGGGCATGGGGAGGACTAGGGTCACTGGGCAGGGGGCCAATAGCCACAGTGGGGCTGGGCTCTGGTGGGCATGGAAGGCGCGTGGCCGTGGGTGGAAGGGGTGGGGCGGGGCTGGGGGCTAGCCTCCCTAAGCCAGGGGTTCACCCACCTCCCATGCTTTCTGGCACCGGGAGCAGCTGGCCTGGGGATACCCATGGGAGTAGTTGGGGGAGGCACTGCCCCAAGAAACAGAGGCAAGGAATGGGGGGGCACACTGGGTCACATGCCGCTGCCATTTCTGGGAATGCAGAGCTGCCTGGCTGAAGGAAGGTTCAGTTCCAGCTGTTGATTCTGCAGCTGAATGCTGCCTCCTGGGTCCTAGTGCTGGTCAAGCTCCTCATTCTCTGTGCTGGGAGCCTTCCTGTTTTCTGTACAATTGTGAGTGCTTGTGGTGGGGCAGGGCAAGAGGGTGGGGTGGAGGAAATGGGGGTTGTGTGCTGGGATGGGGGGAAGACGCAATGGGGAAAGAAGGGGGTAGGATAAGGGAGGGGGATGTGGGAGTGAGAGGAGGGGGATGAGGCAGGGGGCAGTGGGGAGAGGAAAGGTGATGGGAAAGGGGGGAAGCGGGAGCCCGGCATGTGGTGCCGCCCGGCATGCGGTGCCCCTCAGCAGCAGCAGCTGGGGTTCATCCGTTAAGCAGGCCCATCAATTCCCCCACCTGATGAGCCCCATCTCCTGTGCACCTGGACCACCCCGAAGAGTCCTTCCACACGCAGACCCTCCTGTCAAGCCCCAGACCCCCTCACCCATACCCCATCTGCCGAGCCCCAACCACCTTCACCCAGCTCCCCTGAAGAGTCTCATTTTCCCTGCACTCAGAACCCCGCAACGAGCTCCTGTGCATCCATCTCCCCTACTGAGCTGCCCATACCCAGACTGCCTCACACAGAACCCTCTCACCCCTCACCTGGATGCCTCCACACTAAGCCCAGCCACACTTGGATCCTGCTTGGCTGAGCCTGCCTGCCCACACCTGGTATGCCTGGCACAGAGGGCAGGGCTCCGGGGTGTTTCTGGGGTAGGCCTGGCCCTTGCGTTGTGTCAGGGTCCGGGTGCAGCCTTACCACTGAGTCCCTGTCCTGGGGGGAGGGAGGGCTGCAGGGTGATGTCCCACCTTTGTACAGCACTGGCCTGTGCTCCTCACTGGAGCTTCCACAGTTCTTTATTGACAAAAAAATTGTAGAATTTTAAAATGTGCACACAAATTTTATTTTTTTGGCACTGAATTTTTAATTTTTTGGTGCAGAATTCCCTCAGGAGTAATGTATTGAAGCTTCATGCTGTGTTAAGTTGTATAGCTAATGTAATTTAAAAGGCAAGTAATTTTAATCATCCAAAGTGTACAGTGAAGCAGACTTCATTCTTTCAAATTACTTAAAGATTTAACTTTTTTCTTTATGTAAATATCAGAGGCTAAACATTTTTTTTTAAAAGTGTTATTTTCTGCCAGATATTCCTTGAGCCATGCTCCCAAGTCTTATCCTGTCAGCAAGTAGAAGTGGAACCCCTCTCTGCAGATGATTGGGAAATACTGGTAATAAAAACATTTAAATTGCTCTCATACTTTTGTTATTCATGATAAGCATTCCCCGGCCCTCAACCTGTTCCATTTCTCCTCAAGGCACTGTTTCCTATACATTGGTGGTGTACATTGCATGTGTATAATTCAAATTTGATTTTATATAGGGATATACAGTTTGTATCTTAAAACAAATGCCAAATGTAATGTGAAGTATTTGATTTCTAATTATGCAAAGTTGTCTTTAGGAGCTGCATGCTTCCTCTCTTGAAAAGCATCTTCTTGACCAGATTCGAATAGTATTTCCAAAAGCCATCTTCCCAGTGTGGGTTGAGCAGAATACTCATATTTACATTCGAATTGGTAAGTGGTGATGGAGGCATTTCGTGCAATGCTACAGAGAGCCTTTATCAAAGGTAGATAAATGTACTGATGATTTTTGTTTAATTACAGGTACACTAAAGCCACCTGCTTCTTATGGGAGACTAGAACCTCGTACACAGCTTTTCGTATGTCCAAAAACACGCCAGCTTGAAGAAAACACCACCAATCTGCCTTCCTCAAAAAGTGACTTTTTACATGAAAGATTTATTAAAAGTAACATGGATCAAGGAGAAATCATAAAGGAACCTTTGGCCAAAGAATCTCATTTAAATCCAGATGTCCTCGAACAGTGTAAGCCAGATGCAAAAGAGACATTTGGCTCAAATGTCCTGCCAAACGTATGGAATTTTATCGGGAGCATTTTCTCTCGCTCTCCTGAGCAGAAACAGGAGACTTCCTGTGGTCCAAGTGAAATGAGTGCATTCAGAGATGAGCTATTAAACTTGATTCACATGGACTCTATTTTCAGAGTATGTCAGTCCCAGCCTCCTAGTGTACAGAGCACATCAGCCACAAAGGCATTTCAGAAAAATACCATTCATGTTTTTCCATGGAATCTGGAGTTTGTTGATCTAGATCCCAATATTAAAGTGTCTTATGGGAAGATTAGTAAGCTTCGCTCCCTAAGACAACGCCATCGAGAAGCAAAGCAGAATCTACCATTTGAGAAGCAAAAGCAAATGTCCAGCACAGAAGACAGAAACCAGTATGGCTCTAATATCAGTCAAGAATCCAGTGAGATCTCTGTTGTGCAGATAGTATGGAATGGATTTGAAGATCTAGAAAGTGCCATAAAGCATAACAACAGTGTGGAAGCCATGCATGTTGGAAGAGTTTGGGTTAGTCTGAATACAGTTGCTTTTGGGGTTTTAATAAGATAACTTAGGGGTGCTTGATTAGTATAAAATTGTATAGAGTAGATTTTGTAAACATTATTTTTTTAAGTAAGGTAGACTAAAATACAATAGATAATATCAAGTGTAGCTGTTCTTTGCTAATTTGTCCTGTTCTGGACTATTCAAACCCAGCAGTAGCCCTCTGAAATGCACAGCATAGGCTGGGTCTCCACAGCTCTGTGGCAATTCTGCAGCAAAAATGAGAAAGTTCTCCAGCATCTTTTTAAAGATTTTCTGGAATTTGTGAGTTATTTATATTGAGTGCCTTAACAGTCTGCTTGTAGCTATAGTATTCCAGAGACTCTGAAATTATCTATGTGTACATACATATTACATATAACAAGGTATGTGGTTACATCACATACTCATGCCTCTCTGGTGTGCTCTGGCCTCCAGCCTTCAACAAACTAAGGAGTAATGGTATTACATATCATAGCATTGTACAATTGATGTATAATTTTAGTATTTTTTAAAAACTTTAATTAAAGACAACAAGGAGTCTGGTGGCACCTTAAAGACTAACAGATTTATTTGGGCATAAGCTTTCGTGGGTAAAAACCTCACTTCTTCAGATGCATAGAGTGAAAGTTACAGATGCAGGCATTATATGCTGACACATGGAGAGCGGGGAGTTACTTCGCAAGTGGAGAACCAGTGTTGACAGGGCCAATTCAATCAGGGTGGATGTAGTCCACTCCCAATAATAGATGAGGAGGTGTCAATTCCAGGAGAGGAAAAGCTGCTTCTGTAATGAGCCAGCCACTCCCAGTCCCTATTCAAGCCCAGATTAATGGTGTTAAATTTGCAAATGAATTTTAGTTCTGCTGTTTCTCTTTGAAGTCTGTTTCGGAAGTTTTTTTGTTCAATGATGGTGACTTTTAAATCTGTAATAGAATGACCAGGGAGATTGAAGTGTTCACTTACTGGCTTATGTATGTTACCATTCCTGATGTCCGATTTGTGTCCATTTATTCTTTTGTGGAGGGACTGTCCGGTTTGGCCAATGTACATGGCAGAGGGGCATTGCTGGCACATGATGGCATATATGCACCAACCCAGGAACCAATCCCTATAGCAAACCTCGTTGCCTACTCTGTCCCCATATCTACTCTGGCGACACCATTAGAGGACCCAACCACATCAACCACACTATCAAGGGCTCATTCACCTGCACATCCACTAATGTTATATATGCCATCATGTGCCAGCAATGCCCCTCTGCCATGTACATTGGCCAAACCGGACAGTCCCTCCGCAAAAGAATAAATGGACACAAATTAACTATTCCTCTCCTGGAATTGACACCTCCTCATCTATTATTGGGAGTGGACTACATCCACCCTGATTGAATTGGCCCTGTCAACACTGGTTCTCCACTTGCGAAGTAACTCCCTGCTCTCCATGTGTCAGTATATAATGCCTGCATCTGTAACTTTCACTCTATGCATCTGAAGAAGTGAGGTTTTTACCCATGGAAGCTTATGCCCAAATAAATCTGTTAGTCTTTAAGGTGCCACCAGACTCCTTGTTGTTTTTGTAGATACAGACTAACACGGCTACTCCCTGATACTTGACACCATGCAAGGCATTTAATTAAAGAAACTCCTTTATTTTAAAAATAGTTTGTTTAAAATAAATTATTTTATATTAATAAAAATTAATTCACAGTTAAGACACTGAAAACCTGAATAGGAATCTCCAGCTGGATCTCAGGATACATACACACTGCAAAATAAATAAATAAAAATGCAGCTAAGAATTTCAGAGCCCAGGTCAACTGATTCAGGCTTGCAGTACTCACACTAGGGATAAAAATAGAGCCCAAGTGAGAATGTCTGCATTGTTATTTTTAGCACTGTAGTGCAAGCCCAAGTCAGTTGACCCGTACTCTGAGACTAACTACTGTGGGTTTTTTGTTGTTTTTGTTTTTTTTATGAGGAGTGGGGTGTTTTCAGTGTAGACATATCATTACATGCTGTTTTGGAAGATTGCACTTGCAGGTCTCAGTTGGTAGCCACTGACATTTCAATGTCCTGACAGCTCTGCTGCTAGCTTTTGTTCTTGGTTCCCTGGAAACAGATGTTGGATCAATAAGAGATAAAATGCTTTTAAAATCACCATTTGGATGTTTTAAAACAGTGGATTCTAAGGCAGTGTTCCCACCAATTCACCATCCTTTTCAGTGGAAATGAGAATACCAGCCAATAGCAGAGTCATTACTGCCGTCTCTTGTAGACTTCAGTTTTGTATATCAGCTGAGAACTTCAAGTGCTATTTTCCAGATATGACTTACTGTATAGTCTCTTGGTGACAATAGGTTCTTCATTTTTGAGCTGTTTCAATTTAGGAATTAAATTAAATTAAATTATAATAGAGTGTAAGGAATATATATTTCAAATAAAGGAGGACAAATTGGTTAGTGTAAGCTATGAAAATTAAATTTTATCCTTGGCTTTGCCACTAACCTGCTGCGTCACCTTGAGCTAGTCACTTCACCTTTCAATGCCTCAGTTTTCTAATCTATAAAATAAGGTTAATGATACTTACCCTCTTTGTGTTCAGTGGATGAAAGGAGCTGTATAAGAGGATTGGGGGAAAGCTCAAATTCTTACTGCTCAGATTCTCTTCACAAAATGTTAAGAGATGTTCAAAATTACTAGATCATTACATTTTCACTAGCTAAGTTAGATGGCTTCTTCTGCCTCTCTGTCTGTCTACATTACACTCATGAATCAATTATCAAATGCATTACTGGTGGTTAAGACAGGTTTATATGAATTTTGTATTTAAAAGAAAAGAAGCTTTTTCAAATGGCTATTAAAACTGAAGCATTTTTAGGATAGGCATAAACTTTTAAAAGTTATATGGTAATACAGACAGATTCCTCCTTCCCCCTCACTCTTTTATCTCACTTCATTTGTTTGTTTCTAAGGAGGTTAACAAGTTTTAACTGTTTCCACAAAGAACAAAAGAGGCAATTAGGAGGCGAGAGTGTGAGGGAAGAGGATTTGAGTCCAACTGGCAATAGAATGGTTTCCTCTTAAATTCTATTGCAAATTACAACTAGTCAAGTCAGGCTGATGATCAACTGTAATGGAAATGCTTTTATTGATGGATACACTTCCATGGAATGTGAAGTTAAACTTGTGGGATATTGTAACCAATTTCTGCTGTGTGACCATCTTTTCTTTTTACTTTTTGTTTTAAATTTATATATTTCAGATTCCAGATGGCCTGAGAAAGAGAATACATATAGAAATGCATGCAACGGTCAGAATTAAGTCAGTGGAATCAGTCCCTAAAATTCCAGCATCTCTTAGGTTACAACCCAAAAGGAATTTAGTGAGTTGGTGTTCTTAGTATATCATTCAGTCATTTTGCATATGTTTAAGCAATGATAGTGTTGCTCTGGTTGAGGTTTATCAGTGTTGTTTTGTTTTTTATTTGTTGGGTGATAATTTGGGAACTTCAAATCACATTAGACTAATATTTAAAATATACATTATTCCAAATGCAATTTCCCCTCGAATAAATACAATTTTATGATTTAAAGTCATATCTAAATCAGCGAGACACTTGTACCATCTGTATAAATGAAACTTTATACATAATATTACTTCATACTTCTGTATCACCTTTCATCCAAGGATTATAAATGTCAAGTAATTAAACCTCACAACACCCTTTTGTGTTTGGGAGGTATTACAATACTCATTCTACAGTGTATTGAATACAGATTTTCTATTTTATAAAAATAAAGTGATTTGCCCAAGGTCATACAATGGTTGAGGAATAGAGCCTATAAATTCGGACACTTAGTCTCTAACCATTAGACCGGTCTCCATACGTTTTCAAATCACATCTGTCTTCTCTTTTGCTTTTCCTTCATAATTTCTCTCTCCTTCTGTTTAACACATTGGCATTTTCCATGTTCATAATGTAATTAAATATTACTCGTTTTGTGCAGGACCCTGAGCCACCTGGTGTAGGCTGTGTGTGTGTTATAAATAAAAACATTTACTCTGTAAAGTGTGTTCTGACATAGTTTTAATAAAATATCGCTATGTAGTGTAAGGGGTAAATCCTACAAACCTATATGCCTGTGAGGCATGAGAAGTTAAAGGCTACTCACATGTGTTGGTAAGGGTTTACAGGGCCGAGTCCCAAAATTATATTTGAATATTGTTGTACATAATTACATATTGCTGCATTAGAAAGCATTACATAGCAAGAGTAGTATGGTTCTCACTTCATCTTAGGAGATAAGCAACATTTTCTCCTTGACAGGGTCCCACATAGATAAGACTGCCATTAAAAAATAAAAGTGATTTACAAAAGAAATATTGGACCAGATCCTCAGCTGGTGTGGATCAGTATAGTCTAGCTTTAAACCTACAAAGGCAAAGAAACCCAATGCTGAGTCTGAAACTCCTTTGAGAAGAAGCTCTTATGCTCCTCTAGCAGGCAATACCTGGGGAGAGTTTCTAAATAAGATAGTTAAGGCATATTCATACAGTTTAATGTGGTGTTTTAAGTTTTACTCTGAATTATCTTTGCTTTTTTCCTTCTGCTATAAATTTAATAGTGAAGTAAATATTTGAACCCCTCTATCCTCCCTCAACGGAGCCACACCCATTGTTCTCATTGCAAATCTATGCCAACAAAAACCTATTTAATGTCAGCTCTCACTGTCCATCAAGTGCTGCTCTTACACAAGGCAAATGTCTTCATTGGGTTAGTTCATTATGGGCAGTATGTTTGTTTTGCTGTGACACTTGTGTGGTCATTTTGCACTTTAGTTGCTCCACAAATCATATAGTACTAATCTATAATAAGCACAGAGTTTTCATATGCATCTGGTGTTCTTTCTCCACAAACGGATTGAATTTTGTTTTGCCTTTTTACTATATTTTAAAATATACCATGGTTGAAATCTATCAGTTTAATAAATACAACTTTTTTCTGTAAATGGTTGATTGCAGGGTAGATGGTTGAACTAAGTAGTAATTAAACCTGAGGTTTTTGTACATAGGTGTAAAATAAATATCTTGAAAGCAGTAAACTAAAGAAATATAAAGTAATTTTATGTGATCTTATATAAATTTAATATGGAGTTCTTCCTTTCTTTCTTTTCTACTTCAGCTCAAGTGATTTTAGTTCCAAAAGGAAGCAAAGAGAAAGGTGGAAAATTAGGTGAATAATATGGTAGGATCCTCTTTTTCCTTTCTGAACAGAGCTTCCTCCCTTCCGAAAGAGATCTCTGTTGATCTCCCTTGCCTTTGAGAGGAAGGATGCGCCAGTAGTTAAGGGGCTAGCATGGCATTCAAGAGGCCCAGTTTCGATTCCTTGCTCTGCCACAGACTTCCTGTATGACCTTGGGCAAGATATTTAATTTCTTTGTACCTCCGTTCCCCATCTGTGAAATGGGTATAATAGAATTTCCCTGCCTCCCAGGTATGTTGTGAGGATAAATACATTAGCGATTGTGAGGTGTTCCAACATTATGGTAATGGGAGTCATGTCTGTATCCAACATAGATAGGTTGTGGGGATGTGACAGGACTTAGTGTTATGAATGAACAATGCCATTAGAACTTTTTCCATCTATGAGCTACCATTAGGAACAAATATATATATACTGAACCATCTATACTGAAGGGTTATCATTTGGAAAGGAACAGCCGTAACAAAGCAACCCTCCCTCTTTTTCCCCCCATTTTCCTGTTTAGCATAAAGACATAAGTGAAGATGACATAAAATCTGCTTTTAGTTCATGGTTGGAGGATACCACTACTGTTGATCTTCCCTGGATAATGACAGACACACACTGCATACAACTAGTTGTTAAAGAAGGTAAGGAAAACTATGTCCTCTGCTGTGGCTATGTCTGTATTCTCTCTGTATTATGAAGCCTCCTTAGGCAACATTTCTTTTTAAAAATGGTGTTTTTATACTGAGAGACATAATAGATGCTTCCCTCCATTTAAATTGTAGATGTAAGTCAATCTTTAACAGTGATCTTAGTTTAATTCATTCATTTTAGATTACATTTATTTAAAAAATATATATATTACTGGGTTCATATTGTGCTGAAGAAAAATAGAGTTAATTTGAAATCTTGATAGTTGTTCAGTGTGTTTCCACAGGAATGGAAGAGTTTGTCCTTAGTGTAGTACATCCTTCTCACACTGAAGAAAATAAATCGGAGAATATTTTTATGTTGGATCCCAGTTTGCTGCAGAAGACAAATATACAAGTAAATATCACATAGTATCAGGTATCAAGTAACTTAAATTCTGTTACATGTGGTGAAAAATAAAATTAACGGTGTATCATATGTGTCTGTTTCAATTACAGTATTAAGTAATTTAATGTTGTAGTGCCTGTGTTCATCACCATATATGTACATCTCATGTGTTACCTTATAGCATGAGGCTTTGCTAAGACTCCACATAGTCCATAGTATTTTGGACCTAAATTCTGTAGCAATGATCAAACTCCCACTAAATTCAATGGGAGCAGAATTAGGCCAACACTGAGCAATTTTGAAAATTCTACTCTTCATATTTAATTGCCTTAAATACCTATTTCACCTTTTTTCCCCCCTTGGTACCCAAGACATTGTACTGTCTGGAACATGTGAAGTGGGGAGGTGCTAATTGTTTATTCCATCAAATGTGAGGGCTGCTTTCGATCCACACCTGTCCCAGTTCATGCCGTGCTCTTGCTCTCAAACTGCTTCTGTGTCCTCCGCCTCTCCCTTTCCCTGTAAACCCCCCCTCCCCTCCCCCACCACACACACATAGCCTCTTCTTATGGGGCAAGTATTCCCTTTCCTAAACTGCTTGTTGAGTCAAGATCTGAGTCTCCAATGTTAGCATACCCCTCTATTGTTGCTGGTGATGAGCTAATTTTTTTATATTGATGCAGTTGCATGACAGAAGCAGTGAAGAAAACTGTTCTGTTGCTCTGCAAACTTGTTCACTAAAAGTAAAATAGAAGTTTATCCTTATTAATGGATTATGTCCAAGATTAGTCACTTTGGAGACATGTTAGCACTAGCATCCAAATGGGCCTTATATATTATATGAAGAATTTGATTGATAACTGGGAGATAATTACCCTCTTTAGCTAGTATGAATGAAACTTTCATCTACACCATTTTATCAATATGTGAGTCTTTCATGCAAGTATAGTTTCATTAAAACATTTAGTCAGTGTTTTAGAATCATAGAAGATCAGGGTTGGAAGGGACCTCAGGAGGTCATCTAGTCCAACCCCCTGCTCAAAGCAGGGCCAATCCCCAACTAAATTCCCAAATCCCTAAATGGCCCCCTCAAGGATTGAGCTCACAACCCTGGGTTTAGCAGGCCAATGCTCAAACCACTGAGCTATCCCTTCATTTTCTTCAAACAGCTTACAAAAAGATGCAAATCAGTTTTGTACTTTTCTTTTGTAAATGTATATGTATATTTGATTTTTAAAATATTGACTTTTTCTTTTTGTTTATAGGTTCTTATACATCCTATGCCTACAAAAGCTAATGATGACAGCACACAGTCTACTATACATGATACTGACCAGATCCTTCCTTTCCACAAACTAAACAGTTTAGGGTGAGATATTTTGACAATGTCAAATATGGGAAGAAAAAAAAGAAAGCCAGATATATTAGAAAATGCACAGCTTCTGGAAAACTAAACTAGCTGTTAAAAATTCTGTGAAAAATGTAACTAGACATCTCTTTGGACTGGGTCAGGCTGACACAATACTTGGGACCTGATCATGTAATCACTTACTTATTTACACCTTTATTTTGCTCTTGTGAGTAGCCTTATTGTAGTCAATGGGATTACTTACACAGCTGAAGTGATGTACATTCTAAGTGTTTGCAGGATCGGCTCCTTGGATGAGATGCCTTGAAGGACAACCTACTTTGACAAAGTCAGACCTGAAAATTATAGGAGAGTGGCAGAAAGCAGTTATATCAGCCCTAGAAAGGTGAAGGCCCTTTTCCTTATGAACTGAAAAGAGGTTCCGACAGACTAAGTAGACACACCTGAGTCCAATGACCTTTAAAAATCCCACTTCTGGTGAGAGAGGAAGAAGGGATGAGAAACAAGCTGCAGCAGGGAGAAAAGGCTTCTCCTGGGTGGAAGGCTGCTCGCCTCCCTATAAGGGAAATGATCTAGTTAGCTGCTGTTTGTGGAAAGACTGGCATCCAGAAACCAGCGTAATAAGACAACACACAAGAGAGGGGCAGGGAAAGGCATTCCTTTTTGTGTTATGAATTTGGGATTTTGTTTGGCTTACGAGAACTACTTGGGCCTACCCAATATTGAAAAATAAACCAGCTTGAAAAATTAAAAGTCTCTGGAAGGAGATGCCTTGCCATGCTATGTACTCCCAGAAGCTGTGTTGATAATTCACTAGGTGGCGCTCTTCCCTCAATCTGTACCAAACCGGACCTCGCTAGTGTTAAGGGGTACTATACTGCTAGATGTTTCTTTTTTGTTGTTGTTATGTATTTTCTTTAAGTTGAAATCTAAAACTGCTATCTTTGTGGATCTTAAAGGCGTGCTGTCAGGTTAAAAGTGACCTACAGTTTAGGAAAGGAGGTGAATAAAAGTAGCTTTAAGTCAATTTTGTATTTCCCTAATTCTGGCCCAGGTCAAGGACCTACGTTGTCCCTAGGCTGCTCTGAGTTACGCCAGCTTGTAATAGCTTTCTATAGGCTATTACACCAATGTATAATAGCCAAAGTGTATTGCGCTCTGGCTATACCCTCTCCTGACCACACCCTTGGACACATCTCCTATGCCTGGACACATCCTCTATGCTAGAATAGGGAAGGCGGCTGGTGCAGAGCTTTTACAATAGTTCTTCACTGGTTGGAAAACCACGTGTGATGGGGATATTTTGCAAGGGCTAGCTATGCCCCTTTATGCCACTTGTGTAGTGTAGAAGTTCATGGCATCTAATTGAAGGGGGCCATAGATTTTCTTGAACATCTGAAGCACTTAGGGTTTTTCAGTATGTATGGAAAGCATGCTATTAAAATGCAAGTAGTTATTATTACCTAGATTGAGTGTACTGAGACAGCTGTAGCTTGTTTAATGTTTTATTTGGTTTGCCTTACTTTGCAGAGGAGTGGGTAAACTAGGAACATCCACCTTTGAGCACATAACCCACAGCCTCTTGGGACGTCCTTTATCTCAAAAGCTAGCTACCATAGCTGTGGGACTGCGCAGTGGAGCTGTCCTGCTCACAGGAACAAAGGTGCATTTCTACAACTCTCCTTATCTGTATGCCAAAATAGTTTTCTTGCACTAACTTAATTTTAATACTCCAAACAGGCATTGTAAACCTGTTTCTTTTCTGCTACAAGGAATCAGAGAATAGAATTGAAAAAGAGCTGTTGGATTAACTAATCCACCTCCCCTGCCAATGCAGCATCATTTCCTCTGTTATATTTTAGTGTTTTTTACCATCTAAGTTTTAAATGCCCCTAACACTGGAGCGTCCATCATTTACCTTGGAAGATTATTCCACACTGTGTTTTTACCCTTCAAATATGTGTAGATACTTATGCCTCAACATTATTTAACATTTATTTTTAAATTATTTGAATTCAGAAAAAAATCATAATTTTTTTCCCTAAACACTTCACACATTTGACTCTCAGTGATTCTCCTGTTATATTTCCCATGTTGTTTAATGGCAAATCCTGAACCCTTTAAAATCTGTGAGAATTTTATCACTGATTTCAGTGGGATCAGAACTGGGCCCGTACTAGGTACTACTATTGACAAGGAATGAAAATCACCCTCTATACAACCAGCCATCTATTTAGCATCTGTGTTTCCTGAGGAATAGTCCACAGAAGCAAAGAAAGAAGTAGTTTCTGTTACTCTGGATGTTGTTTTAGAAGACTACCCAACATTTATTTTGTAGGGAAGTGGAAAGTCAACATTAGCGAAGGCCATCTGCAAAGAAGCCTTTGATAGATTGGATGCTCATGTGGAAGTAATTGACTGTAAGGCTTTAAGAGGTATGACTATGATCATAGTTTTTCACTCAAACATTTGTTATAATGATAGGGAAGCATTCAGGGCTTATCATTTTATTATGTTCAAATTATCTACAGTATTATAAAACTTTGATCTAGCTATTTATTTGGGCTGCGTGGCTTTTCTTTAAAATGTTTTGTATTGTTTCTATAATGCAATTTGGTGCCTGGCAGTAAGCACCTTTATAAATTCATTGCATTGTGCTAGTTCCATCATTTAAGCTTATTCAGAATGTACACTTTTCTAATTTTTTGTGCTTCTTCAAGTAGTGTCCCTGTGGGTGCTCCACTTGAGGTGTGCATCCACCTTCAGTATGAGATTTTCATCAGTAATGTCCATTCAGCCAAAGGCATATAGGGCTGCAAGAGATGAACCGCCCTCTGTTCCTTCTCGACCACTCACCTGAGACAGTGCGTCCAATAGCATTCATTTACAATTCTGCCTGTTAACTAGTTTCTAGTCCATTTTTATTCTTTGGTAGATAAATGAAGCCTGTTTTGTCTTTGGGGTATGCTGGACAGAGGCAGAGAAGACTCTAACTAGGAGATCTGTGAAATCTCCTCAGAGAGAATTCTCCTCTAAAAGACCTATCATACCAGAAACTTTGTGCCCTTCAAAGGTTTCTGCGGCGGCTTCAAGCAGTCCTGGTACTGAGGCTTCCAGATTGAGCTTGAGCTTGTCTAAGTCTCAGCTTGTCTTAAGTCTTGCCCCAGTGCCCAATGTACCGTTGAAGCATGATCAGAGTACTAGAGATAAAGACTTTGCACCTAAGAAGCCGGAACCATCCACACCAACTGTGCATCAGTATCTTGACCAACAGTTCAGCCAACATCAGTGCCTCAGCTTTCTACGTCTGGAGCTCACCAAGTCTTTACACAAGCCTACCCAGTATTGCAGGAGTTCAGATTCTCCAAGGATTTAATTTGTCTCAGATGAGCCTGAGACTCCTCTGGTGAGCTCGTTTAGACTCCAAGTACCACAGCCTGCATTATCTTTGATACCCCACCTTTCACCAGTACCTTATGATTCCCCAGTACCCACACAGCCAGACAAGCAGATGATCACTCCACTGTCATCTGCTCTGCTGTCACACTATGTAGACGAGAGCTCTTCAGACTCTCAAATATCAGCTCAGAGCTTTCATGTCTATTTACCCAAACTGATTCTTCTGAAGATGTTCAGTATAGGGACATTTGACTGCCTTCATGGTGTCAACTGATTCAACACCCTCCCTGGTATGATCCGTCCTGGATAACTCCCCCATTTCTTTATAGATCACTTCCATGGCCAAACGGGAACCTTTGGGCATTATATCACCAGCAATTTTCTAAGGCACCTAACACTCATGCGGAACATCAGAGACAGTGTTCCCTGCCCCCATCCATCCCTCTTTAGCAATTCCTCCTGCAGGAGGAAACATTTGAGGAGCAAGAAAGGAGGGATGAGGAGGAGGCTACTCCTCAGGCAAATATTTTATCATTCTCTCCAGGTGAAGCAGTTATGCCTCCTCCATCTAACACGGATGACTTCAAACAGTTCCAGAACTGGATGAAGAGAGTGACAGATGCGCTCTGAATTCCAATAGAAAAAGTCCAAGAAACCCAGCATAAATTATGGGACATTCTACGTACACCATCTGTATCACAGGTGGCCCTGCCTGTGCATGAGGTGCTGTTGGAACTGCCAAAACAATTTGGCAAACTCTTGCCACTGCCATCCCAACAGCTAAAAGGGTGAATTAAAAAATACCATGTCCTGGCTAGGGGCTCGGAATTTGTATTTTCTCACCCCACCCCCAACTCCCTAATTGCAGATGCAATCAGTGAACAGAACAGGCACACCATTGAAAGGCTACCCTAGATAACAAGGACCAAAAGCATTTAGATGTGTTTGTTCACAAGAATTACTCGTCTGCCACTCTGCAGTTTAGAAATGTGAATAATCAGGTGATACTCACGAAGTATAATCACATAAACTCTATTAAATCTATATAAAGTCTTTTACAGAGCATCTCCCCAGAAACACAGGCAGCAATTTCAGGCTATCATTAATGAGCGGTATCACTTGGCCAGGATGACTTTACAGGCTTCTGTTGATGCAACTGACATGGCAGCTCATTCCATCTACACAGCTATGGTGGCTGCAATCCTCCGGTTTCCCATGTGACATCCAAGACACTGTAAAGGACCTCCCTTTTAATTGCCTCAAATTATTCAGTGAGACCATGGAGGAGTCCGTACGTTCCTTGAAGTATTCTAGGGCAACACTTGACTTGTTGGATATGTGCACCTCCAAACAAAAGGAGGTTCAGTAGGTCCCAAACAGCTCAAGGGTACAACCTATCCCAGTTTTCCACCTGAGTACCTGAGCCATCTGAGAAGGAACCCAGACTGCAGAAAGGAAAACCCTACACAGCTACCGGCCTGTTGACGCAACAAACGTCATCTGTGAAACATTCCTTCTGATGCGTTGGTTGAGGACCATGACATTCCCACAATCTGGACCAGATGCCACACCATCCTCCCCAGTCTATCCTTCCACCTTTGGGGGTTGTCTCTTCCATTTCTACCGTTCATGGGAGAAGTTTATTTCCAACAGATGGGTACTGGAAAAAGTTCAAACCTTAGTTTTAGCACCATCTCTATTTGCAAGGCTTGGTCTTCAGCTCAGCACCACAACGTCCTTCTTCCTACCAGTACAGCAGCTAGAGGTTATTGGAGTCACTCTAATGCTACAGCATCTAGAGCCTGTCTACAAGGAGCAGATTCCTCACCCTGACAAAACTAATTGCATGAGTTCAACTAAGTCCTCAAGTCACTGCTTCAGGCCATGGCAGTGTTCACCTTTGTCACCTTATATGCCTGCTTGCATCTGCACTGCTTCCAATCCTGGCTCAGGTCAGTCGATATCCCCAACAGGGACAGTATGAACAAGTTTAGCTCTGCCCCTCAAAGTGTGTTAGTCTCCCTTAACTGGTGGAAGAATCCGGACAAGGTGTGTTCAGGGGTTCCTTTTGTGGAAGCAGAGAAAGAACTGACAGGAAGGGGATGCAATGCATGACAGTTCTTTCTCTGCTTCCACACTTTCAAACATTGTCCTCTTGCCGTTACAATTGTTTTGGACACGTTCCTCTTCATATAGAGAGTTCACCTACAGGATCACACTGTACAGAGAAGGTGGACCACACAGGAATCCACCATTCACATCAACATTCTATACCCAATGACCTTAGTAGACACTTCACGTGGGATCACACATGGAAACTCGACAAATCCATACTCAGACAGATATTTCTCTCACCTGGGGTTTTCCAGCAATAGATCCCTTTGCCATTGTTGCCAGCTGAAGATTCATGAACTTCTGCTCAAAGGGAGGTCTGGGTCATCATTCCTGGGAGGATGACTTTCTCCGCTCATGGTCGAAGAACCTTCTATATGTCTTTCCTCCAATGCTGCTAATCCTCAGGGACCTGAACAAAATCAGACAGGACAGAGCCACAGGCATTTTGATTGCACCAACCTGGCCAAGATAAGTATGGTTCCCTTATCTCCTTCACCGCTCCTCTCGACTGGCTATCAATCTACCATTGATGTCTAGCCTTCTCATGTGGGACAAAGGGAACATTCTTCACCCCATCTCAAAACTCTGACTCAAAGCCTGGTACCTGGATGGTTGTCAGAGATAGAGCTCTCCTGTTCCAGGGAGGTGCAGGAGGTCCTGCTCAACAGTAGAAAGGAATCCACCAGGAAAACTTACCTTCAGAAATGAAAAAGATTTACCATTGGTGCACTCAGCAACACCTGTCTCCTATGGATTTTCCCATCTTGGAAGTTTTAGAATACTTTAGAGTACCCCGAAGAAAGGGAGGTCTCTCCTTGAGCTCCACTGAAGTCCATCTGGCAGCCACCACAGTGTTTCATTTGCCTGTAGAAGAGTCCTATGTGTTTGCTCACCTTGCAACTTCTGGGTTTATCAAATAGTTATCAAACCTTTTCCCACATGTCAGGGAGCCCACCCCAACCTGGATCTTGAACCTAGCTCTCAATTTGACAAAACCTCCCTTTAAACCAACAGCTACCGGTATGCTTTTACACCTTTCTAGGAAAATGCCTTTGTGAGCAAGGGGCTTCAATGGCTGACCCTTCTGTACTGTTTTCTTCAAAGATGACGTGTTCCTCAGACTTTCATATAAATTGGACTATTCATCTCCCCATATTTTATCCTAAACCCCATCAAACTAGGGAAGATGCTGCCCTCCATACTTTGGGATATTAGGAAGATAATGACATGCTATTTGGACAGGACTAAACCTTTTTTGAACTTCTCTGAGGCTATTTGTATCTTTTGCAGACTGAGCTTAAGGTACACCAGTGTTTACCGAGAGACTTTCTAACTGAGTTTCCACCTGTATTTTCTAATGCTAGGAAGTCACTAACATGCCATGCCTACTCATAATTAAGGCTATGTTTTAGTCACAGGTATTTTTAGTAAAAGTCACAGACAAGTCACAGGTAGTAAAAGAAAAAATTCACAGCCCGTGACCTGTCCATGACTTTCACTAAAAATACTCATGACTAAAACTTGGGGCGGGAGCTGGGACCCCTGCTGGTTCCCGGCCAATGGAAGCTGCGGGAGCGGTGCCTGCAGGCAGAGGCAGTGACCACACCTCCACCTAGCCGCTGAGTGAGGGGTATGTCCAGGTAAGTGCAGCCCAGAGCCCACCTCACCTCGTCCCGTGCCCCAATCCTGCCCCCTCCCACACCCAAAGACTGAAGTTCCCATCTCCTTCAGGGGGTACTGCTCAGGAGTCACCTCGAGTGGCGCAGTCATAGGGATGCTACTCGAAGAAGGAGAGGTTGCTTACCCTGGACAGTAGCTAGAGTTCTTTGAGATATGTGTCCCTATGGACGCTCCACTATTCACTCTCCATCCCCTCTGCTTCATAGCCCTGGTCTACACTACGAGTTTAGGTCGAATTTAGCAGCGTTAGATCAATTTAACCCTGCACCCGTCCACACGACGAAACAATTTTTGTCGACTTAAAGGGCTCTTAAAATCGATTTCTGTACTCCTCCCCGACGCGGGGATTAGTGCTGAAATCGACATCACCAGGTCAAATTTGGGGTAGTGTGGACGCAACTCGACAGTATTGGCCTCCAGGAGCTATCCCAGAGTGCTCCATTGTGACCGCTCTGGACAGCACATTGAACTCAGATGCACTAGCCAGGTACACAGGAAAAGCCCTGGGAACTTTTGAATTTTATTTCCTGTTTGGCCAGCGTGGCGAACTCAGCAGCACAGGTGACCATGCAGTCCCCCCAGAATGTTTCTATGCTCCCCCTATCATCTCTATATCTGAGGTTACCGCAGATTAGAAGGCGAAAAAAACGCACTTGCAATGACATGTTTTCCGAGCTCATGCAGTCCTCCCACACTGATAGGGCACAGCGTAATGCATGGAGGCATTCAGTGGCAGAGGCCAGGAAAGAATTGCTATGTTTGCTTAACAGCAAAAGTATCATGCCTCGCTAGTGATCCTGTCCGAGCCAGGTCGCTGTGTCACATGCACTCCGCACTGTGTCAGCCTTTGGCGGGCATGACTGCTTTGTGAGCAAGGAGTCCATAGATATAGACATTGCATTAGGTAGCTTCTGTAGCTAGAGAAAACATTCCTATGCATTCGGCAAAGTCTGTGGCAAAAAAAGAGAAGCCCCATAGTGTAGTGGTTATCACGTTCACCTATCACATGAAAGCCCTGTAGTGTAGTGGTGATCACGTTCACCTAACACGCGAAATGTCCCCGGTTTGAAACCGGGCGGAAACAGGTCACTGTTCCTTTTTCTGATTCCCCTCCTGCATTTTTAGTCTTAGAACAGACTGCACTGTGAAATTTTACTTTGAATTATATCCATTATGAGTTAAATAACACGGAAGCTCTCTCTAAGTTATAGTCCTGGATTCCTTACCCTTTCAGCTGCTCTGATAAATTAACATTTTTGTTGGGGGCGGGGGGAAATTTTCATTAAGCCTTTTATAGGGACTAAATGTTATCTAGGTCTCTGAAATAATCTTAACATGGCCCATAGAGTGCAATCCTTCATTCTGGATTTGTCATTCCACAAGTTGAACTGCTCCTTACTACTGTCCAGGCTTCATGAGCCATGGGAGCAAGGGGCAGGCTGGGATAGGTGCGACCGCGCGGTAATGCTGGCTGGGAGAGCAGCCTGAGGAAGAAGCCTCCAGCTCGCATGATATTCCAGGTAGGACTGAATCTCCATGAGATGAAACTTAAAGAAGAGAATGACCTGGAGTCACTCCCATTCAGTGCTCTAAGAGGAGGATAGCTATGTCTGTCCAGGCACCCCTGATCGACCTCACCGAGGTCTGCTCGCTGAGCGAGGCTGAGCAGGACTCCGGCTGGCAAGAGCCGGCGGACGGAGCCCCAGACCAGCAGCGGGCTGAGCCGCTCAGCTCGCTGCCGGTCTGGGGCTCGGTCCACCGGCCCCACTCAGCCCACTGCTTGCCTGGGGTTCCCATCGTCCAGGCAGGAAGCGGGCTGAGCGGGTCTGGCAGACGGGACCCCAGAAAAAAGGCGCGAAACGATTGTCTGCCGTTGCTTTCACAGAAGGAGGGAGGGAGGGGGGCCTGACGACATGAACCCAAAACCACCCAGTGACAAAGTTTTTGCCCCATCAGGCATTGGGAGCTTAACCCAGAATTCCAATGGGCTGCGGAGACTGCAGGAACTGTGGGATAGCTACCACACTGCATCACTCTGTAAGTCGATGCTAGCTGTGGTAGTGAGGACGCACTCCGCCGACTTAATGCGCTTAGTGTGGACATACGCAACGGCCTGTATAAAATCGAATTCTAAAAAATCAACTTCTATAAAATCGACCTAATTTCATAGTGTAGACATACCCATAGTCTTTTATCTCTGTGGGACTTTGTAATGGAGAAGGAACTGAAGGCGGTTCATCTGTTGCAGTCGCATATGCCCTTGGTATAGGGCACAAGGCTAACTATGGCACATAAATGAACTGAACAGAAACTGCTGCCAAAAATTTCCAAGTGAAGTCACATGTGCAGCTCAAGTGGAGCACGCCTAGAGACACACATCTTGAAGAACTCCAGCTACTGTACAGGGTAAGCAACATCTCCTTCCCAGAATTCAACCACAACCTACCTCAATGTTTAGTCCCCATTACTATGAAATAAAGAAAGAAAGTGCAAATTGGACTGTGTATTTTTCTCTGTGCTGAATGGAACAAAAGTAGTTGAATATAATTATATCTATACTCTTTTTCTCATGGAACAGGTGAAAGTATATCAAATTAGTGAGAACTAATTATTTTTTGTATGTTAAGGAATGTACAAACTTCACATTGTATAGAATAGCCTTTAGTTTCTAATTTCAAGTTTGGTCTAGAAATTTTAATATTTTTACAAATTTTATAGATCTAATGTAAATTACTTTGTCCATCTGATGAAAAATCACTTTGCTTTTTTAAAAACATTTAAAATAAATATTCTTTATATATAGTTTCATTGGAAAACCAGGAATGGTGAATTATAAAACCTGCCATTCTTCTGAAGGTATTGTTAAATTTTCAGTGCTTGCTGAACTAGAGTAGTATTGACAATTTCTAATTGTTGTATGTACCAACAACTTCTTGATCTCAGATTGTGCTAGTTGTCTTTGTTGACATTCAGGTTCTCTTGTGAGTTCAAAAGTACTTAGGTGCAACATAAAGGGTAGGAGGGCAAATGTGGCTTTTTGCCACTTTTCCACTGACCATCCTTTCCTTGTAATCCTGGGCTTTATATAGTTCTGAAGCTGTTCTAGTTTACTCTGATGTTGTATAAACTAAAGATCCGGTTGTGTTGGATGTCTGTGTCTGGCCATTCCCCCTTCTGCCCCCGGCATGATCCCTATTCCAGGGGTGGAGGCGAGCATTCATATAGAACTGGCATAGCCAGCTGAAAGTTCCTCCCATAAAGGAGAATCTTTAGCTGCTCATTTAGAGTCATTTTAAGGCCCTTTGCATTGCCAGCACAAATTTTAACTTTTTCATGCTGTGTTTTGATACTAAGATTGTATTTTTGTTTTAGGAAAAAGATTAGAAAACATACGAAAAAAAGTGGAGGAAGTTTTTCTAGAGGCAGCATGGAGACAGCCATCCATTCTTCTGATGGATGATCTTGATCACATTGTTGGAGTTCCTTCTACACCAGAGCATGAGAACAGCCCTGAAGCAGTTCAGAGCTATAGACTTGCACATGGTAATGCTATGCTAGAAGCTTCTGGGTAATTTTTTCCTGTTGCTTCTTATGTGCCTGGATAAAAATGTATTGTAATTTAGAATTTCTTGTACCTGAATGACAGTTGTCTGGACAGTTCTATTTTCACCATCCCTACTTCTGGATCATTTAGCATTCTATGTTGTTCACACCTCAGATAAACTGCCACAGTTTACAAGTTCCAGATGAATTTTGAACCAGTTTTAATATAGATTATTATGCATAAGTAGCATTTTTTTTAACTGAATGTGTACCTTTCTTATCTACTTGGTGCACTTCATTGTGTGCAAGTCATCGGTTATTTTATTTAAATTTTTCCAAACCCTAGCCTTTAAGGGACGAACTGGACAATGCATCCTCCATACGATCTTTTTCTCTGAAGTGCAGCCAACATTAAAATCTCTCCACATAAACATTTTCAGTACAAGAGACTGAAATAACATAATATGAAATAATCAAGATCAATGTATTTTATTATTTTAACTGTGTTAAATTATGCCCTGGTAGGATTTAAGCTATAACAGATCTTCAATTTTCTAAGCAGTGTCAAAGGGAGATTGCAACTTTTTAAATTAAATTCCTTTTGTGGTTTCTGGAATTCACAGTGAGATTACATTTTCAAAAATGTTCACCTAAATTACAAAATGGGTAGTTGTATGTACAACTTCAATGTCTTAGTGCTTCATTTTTGTTTTATGCACGCAACCTTGATACACAGTTTTAAAAGTTAGCATAAATGATCTGCCTTACTTATACACTTTATTTTTGTACATGACATCTAGAGATCTAAGTAGTTCAAAACTGCTGTTTATCCTAAACTCTTAGTACAATGGCTTGGCACACAATACAGTTCAACACCTTAGTATTGTGATAAGTCATACAATAAACTATCTAAATTATATTATTATTTCAACTTTTTCCTGACTATGCTGCAGAGTTGGGATTATAGCTTTCTGCATTTTATTCATACCAGATACAACAGCAGAATTCACAATAGAGAAAATCATCTTTAATATCACAGGGTAGATCTCATCAATAACTATACAAGTTTAGTTCTAGGCAAAGCATTTCTGACAGTGTTTCCTTGTTGGAGTAGACTGTGCCTTGAAAAATAAATGCATTTGTTTAGATGATAACAGTTCTATAATACATTACAGAAAAGTTAGTGTAGTACTTGGTGTTATATAATATCTCTAGTACTGTAAAAATACTCAGCATTAATAAATGTATGAAACTTATAATCTTTTATTACTCATGAAACAATGTCTTCTATATCTAGTTTTGAAAGATGTGATAAAAGAAGTTATTTCCATGGGCAGTTTGATTGCATTAATTGCCACAAGCCAGTCTGAACATTCTCTGCATCCTTCCCTTGTTTCTGGTCAAGGAACTCATATATTTCAATGCTTCAAACATATCCAGCCTCCAGATCAGGTAAATGCAATAACTGAATAACTTGATCAAAATGTTGGTTGTGACTTCCCTACAGCCTCAGATGCTGCACCAAAAAGGTAACAAAAAAGGATAGTTTGCTGCTGAAGTTGAGATAAAACAAAACCAAAACCACAACACTATTGGGGGATTTTAAGAGGTCTTTTGTGATATTAAATAGCATATAACTTTTCTATATGTTATCTTCAGGGTTCCTTTTTGGGAAAAAAACAGAGAGTTATGCCTAGTGGTGAGTCTGTCTCCCACCACCCAAATTAACAGACCCTTCACCATAATGTATACTTTCCCAAATTGTATTTGGGTTGTAAAATATTTAAAGGGTACTAGTTTGTTTTAATTCAAAAATTGGTTTAATTAATATATCCTTCTACTCTTAAAAATAGACTGTATTGAAACGGTACAAAAGAAATGGCAACCAATGTATTAAATATAGTGTACTCTAAGGAAAAATAAAAAGATTTGCATTTTGTACTAGTGTGTAAGAGAATGCCCACAACACCTTGGAATCGTACCCAAGTTTATGTTGCTTATTGTTCTCCTGTCATAAATGAGCCATTTAAAAAATCAAGGACTGCAGTCAGATCTCTGACTTGTGCTGACTTGTGACAGAAGAAAAGACTTCCCCTGAAAAACTATGTTGTATGACAACTCTGTAATCTGAAATTACCCAGACTTGTTTTTTAACCAGTGTCCAAATACAAATGAAAATTTCCAGTATAGGCCTTATTCTACAAGGTAGTTGAGGGTACTCAGCGCCTCTCAGGATCAGGCCCTTTATACCTGTGTGATTTGGTCTGTTTGTTCCTAGGATTTCTCATTCTTCATTTCTGATTTGGAATTTATTCCAGTGCTTGTGATGCAGATATGACTGGGATAGAATAGAAAGATTGATTTCTGAAATGATCATTGCTGGGCTAGAGGTTACAGTGGTCAATTGGTCATTTAGAATTGTAAAGCTGGTGAACTCTTAGGAAAGGTCAGATTAAAATAATCAATTTTTCTTCAATTTGTGTTAGTATTTTTTATATATTAGTCACAAAACTCCTATGTTGAATGAAATGTTGGTAACTTTTCATTATCTGAAACATTTGAGTCTTCTAAGCTTAAGATAATAATTCATATCTGGATAAAACTATGTATACATTCACTGTATATTTTTATTTTTCAGGAGCAAAGATGTGAATTACTGCATTCCATAATAGAAAATAAATTGAACTCCAAAATAAACAGATTCTATGACCTTGATCTCCAGCATATTGCAAAGGAAACAGAAGGGTTTATAGCTAGAGATTTTACAATGCTAGTGGATCGTGCCATACACTCCTGTGTTTCTAATAAGGGAGCGTGCAACAAGGAAGGTATGTGATAGTCACCAAATCTCTACTTTGTTTTAGTTGTACCATATGGCACATGCTTGCAATAATACAAAAGCAAGTAAAACTGTCTCTATATTTTACATTTAAAATGCATTTAACTGTTATTTAGAAAGTTTTGTTGTCTTGATATCATATGCATATATTCTTTTTTTCCCCCACCATAAGGCTAAATTGATTTTAACTGGAGTTTCTTTTGTTCCTGGGGTTTTTTTTTTCAACAGACTTGAATCTGTCAACCTTGGACTTTCAAAAAGCTTTAAAAGATTTTACTCCTTCATCTCTGAGAAATGTTAACCTACACAAACCTAAAGACTTGGGCTGGGACAGGATTGGTGGCTTAAAGGATGTACAGCAAATACTCATGGATACCATCCAGTTACCCACAAAGGTACCCTTTTCTTTTAAACCAGGAACAAATGCTTCAGTACTTTACAAACCATTGTGTTTCTGGAACTCTGATTAACAATTTTACTTTGTGGAACAGCTACTCTTAGAAAAAATGGACTCTTACAGGTACAGCACAGAACTTGCAATCCTAGTAGAGGGAAGACTAAGGTGCCTTTAAGACATTTTTGCACCCTCCCTTACCTGAGATGTTCTGAAGGCTTGAGAGGCCTAGAGAACATAACATAGGCATTCCAAGCCTATGGGCCGTAGCGCTGCCCAGAAGCTCTGCAGTATTGCAGCCTTGACCTGGACACATTCCTCCCAACCCCAGGCTTGTCTTCAACTCCTTAGCTTGTAAGTTGGTCCTGAGAAGGTAACATTATTACAGCTATCTTCTGCAGTGCCTGAACCAGAGGACTCTTCCCTTAGCTGGTTATGGAGCTTTTTAGTACCCTTTTACATCAGCCTGGCTCTCTTACCCAATGTAGAGGTACCAGAGTAAGGGTGAGAAACTCACCATAGAGCTTTTCAAAGAAATGGTTTTGAACTTTTTATAATAGGCTACTTTAATATAACCCAATTATATAATTATAATATAACTGATAATATCAGTTGAGATGAGCCCTTCTGGTCATAATGTGGATGAAGTAAGTAATCTCACAAGAATATCCATATAAAGAAACACTCGTCAGAAGCCAATTATTACATTATGTTTCCAAATAAGTAATTATTTGGAAATAGGTATTACTCTTGATGACTCTGTATTTTCAGTATCCAGGATTATTTGCAAACCTGCCGATACGACAGAGGACAGGAATTTTGTTGTATGGTGCTCCTGGAACAGGAAAAACTCTGTTAGCAGGTGTAGTTGCCCGAGAGAGTGGAATGAATTTTATCAGCATCAAGGTAACAAAATTTTGATGGTTTATTAGTTCTTTGTATTAACACAAAAAATCCCAACATAGTTACTTTGTCTAAGTGTGTGTGTGTGTGTGTGTGTGTGTGTGTGTGTGTGTGTGTGTAGTAAGTATAGTAGTACG